TTTATTAGAAGTGACTGAAATTGATGTTACACACGCAAACACAAGTTAGCAAAAGCGATTATGACTGAAATTGATGTTACACATGCAAAGCAAAAGTTAGCAAAAGTGATTATGGAAAAGTCTTCGTATATTTAAGTGTAAAATTTTGTTATTTACCTGGGCCCCCAATCCAGACATAGGGTATGGAAGTCAGGCCTGTGGCTTGCTCATAAGAGCTTGAATGGTACCAATCACTCGGACAATTCCATGCTCACGGTAATTGCAAAGGGCTCTTTGTTCCAAAAGGAACAGCTACCTTAATCAAACCATATAGCCCATTCTCTTTGCTTCCATAATGCGAATGGTACATATACGTTCCTGCCTGTTTACAACAGTTTAAAGCTATAGGTAAACGTCTAACATTAGTGTTTAAGTCTAACAGGTCAACGGTTGACAGATAACAGAAAATTAGTCAACAAATACTTCTGAAGACGAACCTTATCGACAACAAATTGGTAAACGAAGGTGTCACCAGGCATTGTTCCACACTGTGAAACTCCTCTGTTCCATCACTCCAAGGAGTTCCAATCTGCCATGCATGAACACAAAAATTACCTTCCTTTCTTCATTGATTTCCATTTTTAAGAACAAAACTTTACGGAAAAGTAACATTAGATCCCACTAATGACTTAGAAATAGAAGATTTCAAAATTATCCAATGTCTGTAACTTAGATAAGAAGAAAAGCATGTAATATATGAAATATTCTACCTGTTGATCCATGCCAATGGATAGCAAGATTTTCCATCAACAAATTATTCTTAACATTGATGATAATCGTATCGCCTTCGGTTGCAAAAATCGTGGGCCCTGGAGTCCCTCCATTTATGGCAATAGCAAGTTTCTTGTAACAGTCAAGAGACTTGTACTGATAGCTCACCTCCCATGTCAAATTATGAACTTTAGCTTCAGCCAATAAACATGTGCCCACCAGGCAGAAAGCAAGAAAAATAAGATCAGATTTTGTGCCCTTGAAAAATAAAATTTCTCCAGCCATTTGGCCGAAGAATTTCAGACTCCTGGAGCTTGGAAAACTACAAAAAATTATGATTGTGTGAGACTTGCCTTTACAGCTTTACTGATTGTTCTTTATATAGAGATGAAGACTTGAAAAGAAGTCAATCTGTGGGAGCCAATTTACAATAATTTAACGTTTAAACCAAGAGATAATCTTCTCGTGGGCGTGTTGCACGTTGGAACTTTCATTGGATACACGACATATTTTCTTTTTCTATATTATAAAAAACAATAAAAATTGGCTCGTAATCCAATCTTATAAACTTTTTCTCACAATCTCGATGTAATAGCTCGCAATTAATCAGATAATAATTAGGTAGGTAGGATCCATTGTGACACATATCCAATTATGAACTGATCAATTACGAGCTACCACGTCAGGGTTGTGAGAGAGAGTTTATGAGATTGAATTATAAGTGTAGTACTGCCCTATAAAAAAGAGTAATGCTAGGTTTATAACCTTCTCTCACAACCTCCAATATAATAGTTCGTAATTAGTCAGTTGACAAATGAGCAAACAGGACTCATAGCAAGCAGACGAAAGCGAGCTAAACAATTACGAATTGTTATGTCGAAGGTTGTAAGAGAAGGTTATAAGATTAGATTGTAAACCTAACATTATTAATAAAAAAAATGTTGAATAATTTATATAATAATGTATTTCGTTAGAGATTTAGACAATTTAAAAATATATTTTACATGTTATTAATATATAACATGCAAAATATATTTTCTCTTATATGAACGTCTGTATGCGAACGTCATTTATTGATATTAACAAATGGACTACTATTATCTGTAAACACCATAGAACCAAATTTTTACTTAAACTTTTTCAAATTGGAAATTGTTTTTTTTTTTTAAAAAAAAAAAACTTAATAGTTAATCATGACATGTTTTTACGAATGATTTTACCATTAGGGTTTTGGGTTAATTAATTCTAAATTTAGAAATACTAAAGTTGTACTACACAAAACATGTATATTTTTATTAATGTACTTTACTTTGTACTACATTAACAGGAGCTTATTATAAATACGAAACGATGATCTCTTACTTTTAAAGGTTTGGATTTTTTTATTTTTATTTTATTCGAAACCTCAAGAGAGATTCTCTATCAAGTTTTAAATCTTCATAATTTTTTTTTTATATTCTTATTTTAGCCAAAAAAATAAATTATTCTTCAAAAAATATTCTCATAAAAATTAGGCTTTGAAACAATCATTTTTTTTTTTTTTGGTATCCAAAGATGTCCGAACCAGTTTGTGCGTGCCTCGACTAGTTTCTCAGGATCTTGAAGTTAACGGTCAGGTAAGCCTTTAATGGTTATTCCTTATTAGTAGTTGTGAAGGTTCGAATTCAAAATCTCTTCAGTAATATACCCAAGAGTCCTAAATGTTCAGCCAAACTACCTAAAGGTAGTTGCTTTAAAACAATCTTTTATTCAATTACGTTATAACTTTTATTATTCTTTAGATAATCCAGAAATTCTCAAACTTTTTTTACAAAACTGAGAAACTGAATTGATACTTATTATCAAAACATTATTGAACCGATAATTACTCATATTATAGATAGAATTTTTGAAGCAGTACTATACATTTGTCAAAAGTAAAACCCTTCAATTTTGACACCTTTTTTTTTAATCTTTCTGTAGTGTTTTTCTTTTCCCTGCATTCCTTCGTTTTCAATACAATTTTATTTGTCGCTTGCTTTTTTAGTATTTTATTGTCAATTCATGGTATCTTGATGAAAAAGGGGGCAAGAAAACAATTCAAAGGTCAATTAATGTATTGCTTTATCCCATCAAAATAAAGTGATGATTAAAAACCATTTATATTCTTTATTTTCTACATAATTATACTTATCCATTTTCTTATAGAAACATAACGTAACACGACTTGTCACATCTCACATAGACATTATTAATAAAAATGACCTCACAAAACGAATTCATATGCTTCAACTTTTCTTCGATTGTGTTCTTATAACAACAATAATATCTATCTTTTTATACTTTTTGGCTAATGCCCACCATCTTTTTGACTAAGAAAAGTATTTATTTTTTCTTTAAAATAACTTATCTTATATGCCTCTCATGCTTTTAAGTTTTTTATTATTATCATGTATAATGTGTTTCGTGAATCACGATTTTCCTTACTTTATCAAAAATGAATTAATTCAATTTTAAAATAGAAGATGTTAAAATAGGGAAAATAGAGTTTCAATTGCAGGAATAATAATAAAAAATAAATAAAATGCTTCTTTGTTTTAAATGAAGAAGCATGTTTAAAAAAATAGATAAAAAAAGAATGTTCTTTTATTTTTGGGCATGGTTGATTGGAAGTTGTTAGGTTCTATAATAACACAATATAAATATTTTCAGAAAATAAAAAATCTTGTTTTTCTTATTATTAAATTAAAAAAATTGAGACAACATGAAGAATATTTTTTCCATTTATTTTTTATTACTATTTTCATTCCTTAATTTGATAACACATTTGACAAATTTTGTACAAGCTGTGAGGCAGCCAACTACTCAGTACTCACAATAATCATATACGAAAAGAATAAAAAATAATAACAATAATAATAATAATAAAGATATGGAGAAAAGGTTCAAAAAGCTTAATTTTAGTTTTGTTTTTAAAAATACTGAAAATATTAATAAAGCATTTCAATGACCATATACTAAAACAATCGAGGTGTTGACATTCAGGAAAACCTCTTAAATTATTTCACTATTGAGTTAATCGTAATATTTGGTAACCGAGAAAGTTATAAGACAATATTAATGTTCGACTCTTTTTCTAATAATTTTTAAAAATCTGTTAGATTTTAAAATCCTATAATCTTAAATTATTTTAAGAGGGTAAGTTAGACTTAAATATTAATGTTCGACTTTTTATCTAATCTTTTAAGCAAAACCTTAAACTTTCGATGTTTGATACGAGAATGTCTGTAAACTTAAAAAGTTAACTAATTTCTTAAACCTAAAAATCAAATCCATGTCACACGTGAGAGAACCTACCAAACTTTTAGATATTAAAGTCAAATTCTTTATCTAATTACTCAAGCTTTCACCTTTAACGGTTTTAGCAAAGAAAAATGCTATTCTTACAAAGAAGGCTACAAAGTGACATTATCCAGAAGAAAAAACAAAGAAAAAACAAAAAGAGAGAGAGAGAGAGAGAGAGAGAGAAATTATGAAAATCAAGGGTAGAGATTGTCTTTGTATGCCCCCTTTGTATGTGTTTTTGTAAAACTAGCATTGCTTTTTAACAAAACGTCCGACAACGAGTTAAATGCTAAGTGGACAATTCACAATCAAATCATGAACATAATAAGTGGAAATAAGTTTACGCATTTGTCAACAGCGGTTATAATTTTTTATCTTTAGGATTTGATCTTAACAGTTAGTATCAACCCCTAGTCAAAAGTTTAATGCCTCACAAACGTATGAATTGTTTTGATGGTCAAATCCACTATAGGTTTTGACTTAAAAGATAAGGGTAATATTACATTTATAATCAAATCTCACAGATTTTCTCTCACAATGTGATGTGACAGGCTGGCAGTTCGCAATTAGTCAATTTTTAATATGTTTTACCTGCCTAATTGAGAATTGATAAATTATGAGTTATTACATCGAGGTTGTAAAAGAAAGTTTATAAAATTAGGTTATGAGCCATTCTTTATTATAACGAAAAAGGCTTAATTCTAACAAAGTAATGATAATGCAATATTTTTTTTCTAAGGAATTTCATCGTCACCTCCATCTATAACCATCAAATTGACCCATATCACATCTCACCAAACTCGGCCCAATATAAACTTTTTAATCTGAATTCTAAGGACACCCAAAGCCCAAGCCCAAGCCCAAGCCCAATTTCACTCAAAGCCCAAATTCAAACCTCCCTAGACCGCACCGTTTCACTTCCCTTTGACAAAACCCGCCATCACCTTCCTCAATTTCCATATCGCACGCCAATTCCACCGCCATGGACGACACCGATCAAACCCAAACCGAAACCCCGACCCGAATCACCGATCCACTCACCAACGCCTTCGGATCCCTCAACGACCTCGCCCCCGAACTTGCCTCTCTCCAAGATCTCGCCACGCGCGGCTCGTGGCGCTCAATTCTCGACAAAGTCTCACGCGCCCGCTCCCTCTCTCTCCTCACTCTTCCCCACCACCACCTCACCTACCTCTCCTACAATGCCCTCGCTTTGATGAAACTACGTCGTTTCAACGACGCTGCCCTGGAGCTCGACTCGCTCGAAGACTTCAACAGTTCCGGTTACCAGTACGAATCGTACCCGCATGCCTATCCCAACCGGACCGGATCCATGGTCCCCTTCTCCCTCCGGTGGCTTCACGCGGTTCTCCCGTTTAAGATGTCGAACCGGCAGGAAGGTCTTGACCGGTTTTATCTCCTTCTCGATTTCGTCCGTGAGAAATTAAGGCAAAAAGTCGACGAGAAATTGGATTTGTCGGCGAGTGCGTGGAGGAAACGAGAAGTTTTTGTGGTTAATTGTTTGATTGGTTATCATCTGAGTGGGAAAGAGTTTGGTGTTTGTTTGAATCTGATTCGAGATTTGTTGAAAAATTCTGACGACTTTGACCCTGTGTTGGTCTCCAGATTAGGATACATTCAGATGCAAATCGGGGATTTGGAGGGTGCCACGACGTCGTTCAATCGGGTTGAGGAATTGCTGACGTCGAAGAAGAGTGATGAGACTGTTGTTGAGTTGAGGAATCTTGTGAACCGGAACAAGGCTTTGGTGTATTTGATCGGGAAGGATTACGTATCGGCGGTGAGGGAGTATGAGGAGTGTATAGAAAGGGACGGCAGTGACATTGTGGCGGTGAATAACAAGGCTTTGTGTTTGATGTATTTGAGGGATTTATCAGATGGCATTAAGGTGTTGGAGAATGCGCTCGAGAGAGTGCCCACAGTGGCGCTGAATGAGACGGTGGTGGTGAATTTGTGTAGTATGTATGAGTTGGCTTATGTGAATCACTCGGATATTAAGCGGACATTGAGTAATTGGATTGCCAGGGTTGCGCCCGATGATTTTGATTCATCGTGCACAAGAATTTGAGGTAATTGGTTGTGGTTGTTGAAGGAAAAAATTGTGTTTGTAATAATGGATGAAATGATTTTTTGAAATGTAGGACGAATTTGTGGAAATTTTTGATAATGCATATAAGATTCATTGAGAAATGGTCGCAGTTGGTTGCTGAATTGACATTACATGTATATGTGATTGTGTTTATTTGTCTTGAGTTATTGAAATTTATGTTTATGTGGGGTGTTGATGCTTATCTTGTAACCGCGGATGAGGTATTTTTTCTTATGCGGGTTGGGTTTTGGAAATTTTTTTATAATGCATTGAAGTTCAATTGTTTTTGAGAAATGGTTGCTATTTGTTACTGAATTGATATTACATGTATATGTGATTGTGATCTAATTTCCTTATCATATAGATGAGTCCATTGTTGTGTATGGAGAGTTTCATTTTGGATTAATAAAAGAGAAAGGTTTATATGGTATATCGACACTAATGTTTTCAGATTGATGAGATAATCTTTTGATACTTAGGAGGAGTTTGCACAAACTTTTGTTGTTGCATGTAGGATTCAATCGAGTTTGAATTGTTTGTTGAGAGATAGTACTTTTTGCAGGATTTTAGTGTTTGAAGTCTTGATTCTAGTGCTCAATTGACATTGCATGTATATATGTTTATGATCGAACATGCATTTCAATTATTTGTGTAATAATGGATGGGATGATTCCATGATATGCAGGATGAGTCTGTGCAAGCTTTCAATAATGCATATAATATTCATTTGAGTTGGCCTTGATCTGGAACATATCATACTCAGAGAGACATGGAATAGAGCCACTCCCCTTTGAGTGTTGTTGAGATGACATTCCTGGAGGATATGCTAATTTTTGTTTTCAATTATGATTTCTTGTCCTAATTTGTGCGTTAAGAATGGTTTAAAACTAACTCATTTCACTCTTCAGATGACTGGATGAGTCCCTTTTTGTCTATGGTGATTGCTGCTGTTAATTTTCGATGTCTGATTAAGATTGTACAAATCTTTTGTTTAGCTTGAGGTGAGGAGATGATTTCATTTCTCATTGAATGAACTGTAAATGAATCATGTATATTTCTGATTGGTGGTAGCACTGTCTAGACTCGGTGAAGGAAACTGATTACCTTTGTCGACGCTATAATGTTTGAACTGCTGAGTGGACTGCTTTATTTTATAATGTTAATCAATCAGACGATGAATCCATCAAATTAGATAAGTTCATATGGACAATTTATGCTTTTTTATTCTGGCTTTTGCTATGTACAAGGTCTTGTAATGTTTTGGGAATGGTTTTCTTGATTTAGAACGCCGCGCGCGCGTTACATTCAAGTCCTATTTCACCATAGCTTAACACTTAGTGTTATAAGTCTGACATTGTATGCGATAAATGTATTTGTTTACCATTTGCTTTGTGTGATTTGTGAGTGATTGTTGATGTTCGAGACTCATCCATTCATCGAATATAAGATCAGGGTTTTCGTTTTCGTTTTCATTTTTGTTTTTGTTTTTGTTTTCGTTTTTTGTAGGATCAGATTGAAAGTGTCTTAACATGGTTGTTGGTATGTTGTATTCAAGTTGTGTTTCTCTTTTAGACTTTTCAAAGTTTGAACAAAATTGAGAACCTTATATTAGTTGATGGAGATAGACTTAGCTTTCTTTAAATCTTATTTAATGACTAATGAAGGTTAGATTATGTATTTCTTTTCCTAAGCAATCATTATTATCTTACCGGTTCGATAACGTTTCGACTATTTGTTAGGAATGCATCTTATTTGTTTTTAATTTTAATAAATATTTTGAGGAAAAATTAAAATTCTTTATTTGAGTCAATTGAACACTAATTTAAGTGGAAAAATTAAAATAATTTAGTTGAATAGGTTGAATGTTACGATTGCTTCATCTATACGTCAGCGTTTTGAACGACCCTTGACAAGGAGGTGGTGGCCACAGAACAACTGCCCAAGTCTTCTTCAAGCAAATTATTTTCTTTAACATTTAGTTGAAAATATTTCATTAGTTATTATATAATTTACAATAAATCAATATTTATCTATTATTTTATTTTTTTTTAATATTCCAATACATTTGAAGAATATTAAGTATTGTCACATAAATTATTATTTAGTGATAAATATAAACATATAATATGTGTGTTTAAAGTTTGGTATCAAAATGTGCCGTTGGAATTTGTAGTTCTTACTTACCACCTTCAAATTAAATTAATTTCTAAGAGCCTACTTCTCTTGACCTATCCTCCACCCTTGATCACTACCCCCTCACACTCTCTTCACCGTCCGATCCTCACCTTCATCATCAAACGACCTCCCACTCTCAATCACAACCCTTCAGAAACTCCCATGGCCCCCTAAATCACTCACTGGTCACTACATAAACTCATCCCTATGCGATCTTTCCAACAGTTCCCCACCAACACCAACAACCAACAACTCCTTTCTTCATATTTTCCCACCAACCCTCTTCCGTTTCTTTAAACCAAACAGAAAACTCCTTCCTTTTCGTGTAAACTGTTTCATGGCCACTCTCTTCGCTCCCTTCCGTCCTCTTCTAGCTTGGTCCCCAGATCAGCTCACTCCAGACCGGAAAAATTGAAGCTTTTGACGAGCTCTCGATCGGTTTCTTTCCCCTCTCAGCTGCCACACAACTTGTCTCTTTCTGGGTAAGGTTTTTTTTTGGTTTTTTTTTTTTTTCTGGTTTTGGGTTGGATTTTGGATTTTGGTTCAAAGTTTGTGTTTTATTGATCAACGTGGCGAACTTGAAGTGGGTTCTGGGTTTTGTGGCCGATAGAGCCTTGGGAGTTATCAACCAGCAAGCAACCTTTCACTTTTTAGGCTTGGAGGGTAATGAAAATTTTGATTGGTTTATATATATGTAAAGTGTATTTTTTAACACGTGCCTCTTAGCAAAGTAGGAAGAAACGTGGTGCTGTATTCATTTATTTATTTTTTTAATAAAGTAATGTTTTTACTAATAAAGTTGGAAAATGTAAATGGTTTTTTTTGGTTTTGGGATATAGAGGCGTGGAGATTAGTAAGATAGTGAGGATTGTACGGCTTAGTGCAGAAATGCAGTTGATATCTCTTGAGTCCCAGAGTGAACGCGGTTAAGCCCTCAAAGACTGTGGCCATACCGACCAGGCCACTGCGCTTGCTCAAGCTGGTGTTCCCGTTATTCGTTTGGCTGCTGGAGAGCCTGATTTTGATACCCCAGTTATAGCAGAGTGAAATTTGTTTTTTTTTTTTTTTTTTTTTTTTTTTTTTTTTTGTTATTAGTTTTGGTTTTGATCGCAATTAGGGTGTGGCTATTTGGTGAAATATTTGATCGATTTGTCATTGGCGTGAGGTAGTTAATTTGGTTGGATCTATTGAGATTGTATAAGCTGTATCGAGATTGAATCTAGGTCATACTAGTTTGGGGAGGGTTCAGTTTAGATTTTGTAAGTTTGAAAATAATAACCAATAAATAAGAAAAAGGGATAGATTTTATGGAATTTCTTATAAGGGAGAGTTTATGCTAAGATTGAGCTGAATTTGTTTTATGGAATTTCTAGGCTGGGATAAATGCGATCCGTGAAGGTTACACAAGGTACACTCCGAATGCAGGTACTTTGGAACTTCGTTCGGCAATTTGTCATAAGCTAAAAGGTTCGTTGGCTATTGGTTTTATACTTTGTGTGGTTTGTAGTTGTGTTATGAGTTCAGAAAATTGTTTATTTATTTATGTTTTGTTTTTGGTTGTGATAGAGGAGAATGGGTTATCGTATGCACCTGATCAAATTTTGGTTAGCAATGGAGCCAAACAGTGCATCCTTCAAGCACTCCTTGCTGTTTGCGCCCCAGGAGATGAGGTGAGATTTTGTGACTATACCCTATGATTCTTATTTAGCTATTTGGTTTATAGCTCTATTTGATTAAATCAAATTGGTAGCTATGACTTTGGTAAATTAATTGCAGTCTTTCTGAAATTAAGTGCAATAGTCTTCCTTAAGAGACATAAATAGAAAATCTACTATAATTACTATAGTACTATAAATTTGTGGGAATTATGGTATGGGATTCAAATTTAAGATATTTAAGTTTGGTCATATGACCTTGCAAGTCAAATGAGTGTTGGTTGAAAGATTGTGGTCGACAACGGATGATTTAGTAATGATTTTGGCCAAAATATAGGTGTTCTAGCTTTGTATTGATTGAAATCATTGGAATACTAAACTTCTTTAACCCTCTGGTGGTCAGTGTCTGGGAAGACATTTCTTGCATGATATGTTTTCCGTGTAACTTTAGATCATCTGGAAAATAACCTGCACGCATTCATTTGTTGAACTCCACTCCATTTTTTAGATTGTCTTTAGTGTAGATTAATTTTAGATCAAATGATATCCTGGAAAATAAAAAGACATGGAATGTAATTAAATAGTTGGCGGGTAGTGGTCAATACATGTGCTTTAAAATGCTACTTATTGATGCCTCTGTTATGCCACGTTAGGAAAGGCAAAAATGATTATGTAGGATAGTTAACCAGCATGCCAATGTGGACTCTGTTATTGGTTTCTTCTACTTTAGATGTATAACATTTTTAATTGTTGGTGGTTGACATCATTCTCTTTTTGTTTCTTCAGGTTATAATTCCAGCTCCATTTTGGGTTAGTTACCCGGAAATGGCAAGGATAGCTGATGCAACACCTGTGATTCTTCCAACAAAAATTTCTGAAAATTTTCTCTTGGATCCAAAACTTCTTGAATCAAAACTGACTGAGAAGTCAAGACTTTTGATTCTATGTTCTCCATCCAACCCAACAGGATCTGTTTACCCCAAGAAATTACTTGAAGAGATTGCAAAGATTGTAGCTAAACATCCCAGGCTTCTGGTATGAACTGACTGAACCGGAAACTCTTTAGTTCCTGCTCTTTGCCTGGATCTGAATCCTGAACATTCTTTGCCTCGTTTGTCAGGTGTTGTCTGATGAAATATATGAACACATAATCTATTCACCAGCGACTCATGCAAGCTTTGCGTCTTTGCCGGGTATGCAAGAGAGGACTTTAACTGTTAATGGGTTTTCTAAGGTAAATCAATAGTGATATATTGAATTTAAGGTGCTCAAACCTTGAAATTTCATTGCCTTCTCATTCACTGAATCTAGTAGTTGCTTTCACTCTGGGGATTTATATATGAATATTACATTTCTAGGCCTTCGCAATGACTGGTTGGCGACTTGGATATATTGCCGGCCCTAAGCACTTTGTTGCTGCTTGTAATAAGCTCCAGAGTCAGGTATGTTACATCCCTACTAATTTACATCCTTAATTTTCTGTTAAACTCCTGCATTGCATTTTTTGTTTTTGTTATATTTATTTCTTATACATATAAATGATAATTCTATGTGTTACTTTGAGAAGCATGATTCTAATAGATTTTATTTCTGTGTTATGTCGTTGCAGATCACTTCAGGTGCCAGTAGTGTATCTCAAAAAGCAGGAGTCGCTGCATTAGGTTTGGGCTATGCAGGCGGGGAGGCAGTTTCCACTATGGTTAAAGCTTTCAGGGAGCGGCGTGATTTCTTGGTTAAAAGCTTTGGAGAACTAGATGGGGTTAAAATATCAGAACCTCAGGTACTAGCCTCAGCTATATTTTCACTTGGTGGAATCTAACCTTCTTACCTATAGTTTTATCCTTTTAGTTTTAGCTATCTTTGTGCTCCTAATTTTCATTCTTGTTAATTGCAGGGAGCTTTCTATCTCTTCATTGATTTCAGTTCTTACTATGGATCGGAGGTTAAAGGTTTTGGGAAAATTGAGAATTCCGAGTCCCTATGTCGATACTTGTTGGACCAGGGTCAGGTATAGTGTGGTTGCTTAATTTCCTCTCACCCTTATAAAGTTCGTATTTTTAAAAGTGATGCCAGTACAAGATTGTTTGTCTTAAAACAGTAACACTCCATTATTCAGAGCTTCTTGAACATTCCGTGTAGTTTATATTCATCTTCTTTCTCTAATTTGGTCATGGCCGTTGATTTATAGGTTGCATTGGTCCCGGGAGAGGCATTTGGGGATGACAGTTGCATCCGCATCTCCTACGCTGCATCCCTCACCACCCTACAAGGTGCCGTGTTGAGAATTAAGAAAGCACTTGACGCGCTCAGGCCAGCTGTCCCAGTTTAATCACCTGTTTAATAAAGATGAACACTAATGCAAAAGGTTGTCATTCTTGTACTTGGAATTCAAGATATGTATTTGTCAATGATTGTTTTCAAATAATGTAGGCTTGTAATGTAGCTTCAATTCTTGTTGTCTCAGCAATGGTGCTTAACGTACTTTCTTGTATGGAGGTGGAAAAATATTCACCATTTTACATGGTTATTTATGCATTTGAAGGGCATTAGAGGAAACTTCTATTGTTTTGGTTAATTTGGAATCTTAACCACATGCAATGATTCTACTGCAAATGCAGGAATAAGTTATGTTAAAAGGGGAGTAGGCGAAACTGTCGTCTTGACCATTGGATTATGATTCAGTCAACTTTAAACTATGATCTGAACCATTAGATTATGATTAAGTCGATCTTTTGATTAGATCTCTATTGGATTACGATTCAATCAACTTTAAACTATGATCTGAAGATTTTAAACCATTAAGTCATAATTAAGTCGATCTTTAGATTATGATATAAGGGTTTGTCTCTGATGTTGTAAAAAGACCGACAAAGACCATATTGGATCCACAAAGACAAACTATAGGGTGAATATCTTACGTCATTTGAATGCTCATTTAATATAGTACTAATTTTAATTGTATTAAGAATTAATCATAGTTAATAAATATGGGTACGACAAAAAAAAAAAAAGGTATGAGAATTTTATGGGTATGATACGGCAAATGGTGAAAAATATATTTGTAAAAATTCGGTCATAAAATTCGGATACAAGAAAAATACGATTTGAGTATATACCAATATTTTAAAACTTGGTCTGGCTGGGCCGGTTTAATTGGTTTAACTGAGACCCGGAAGCTTCAACGGGTCGGGTTTATATTTTTTCTATTCACCTCAAGCCCTAGGATTTGGGAGGATGATTTGCGAACAATTGAAGCCCGGGATGTTGGGGCTTTTGAAGAGAGAGTGCTGGTGAATGCAATAGTGGTGACAGAGTTGATTTCCGGTGAGTAAATCGACTGGAAATCAAACAAAACCGGTAGCGGTAACAACCGGCTTTTGTTGGCGATTGGCGAGGCTAACAGGGGTGGGGATGTGGTGGGTTTTGGTCGGAGAAAGAGGGGAACAATTTCTGGGTGATGGGGAGGGTTGTCAATGTCAGCGTCAATGAGATCTAGACTGGAATGCCAACGCCAGCGTTGATGAGATCTGGCATGGAATGCCAACGTTGGCGTCGTTGAGATCTGGCCAAAATCGAACCTATTTCGGCCAGATCTTGGATATATTTTAAGGGGAATGGGCTCAATGGATGATTGGGATTGCATTTGGGGTATCGCTGCTACCAACCAATCGCCAGCCGATTTGTATTTGGGGTGTGTTTGCTAAATTTCAAACCTATAGGAACTTAACAAATTTTTAGGGGTGTATTTGCTGAATTTTAGAAGTTTTTTGTCAACTAGTTTGATCGCCGGTCAAACATGTTCAACCGATCAACTTGGGACGTGGCAACTTTGCTGGGTTTCACCTCGAGTTGGGTTTTAAAACATTGGTATATATGGGTTTAATACGACACATTATCAATAATATATTTTGAAAAATACGACAATATCAATCTTGGTTTTAACACTTTTTATGGACCACCTAGTTATAATCAATATAGGATTTAAACTACAAAGTATATAATTCATGAATAATATGGATGTACTGATAAAATACGGTTATAACACGAATAATTTGTGAATAATATTAATAAAATACGTCAATAATATGGTTAATTTACAAATAAAATGTCCAACGCATATAGTTTACAAATAATACAAATGTGTTAATAAAATACGAAAATTTGCAAATAATACGCGCGTTTTACTCGCGAATTCACTAACATAGGAATTAATTACAATAGTGATTAAATAGATAAAAGAGATTATATTGTCCTTGTCCAAACGCTTTTGCAAGTTGGTCTTATGATTCCAGAACCCAAGAAATAAAACTTTCCAAGGTATCTTTCTTTTGAAGGTAACCAAAATTAAGTTCTGTACGGCACCAGGGAATCAAATTCCAATTCCTGCAAGTTAATTTGGCTCAGGGATTCCAAACATATTCAGCATAATAAATTATAATCTTCGCCTCTTTGGATGATGCAAAATTCAAGCTGTAATAAACTTCGCCAACAGGCCTAGCCAACCGAAAGGTTTCTTTCTGTTCCAAAAGCGCAAAATTGCAAAGCAGAGATTAAGGGAGAGGAAATCTATTTCTTGCCCTCCTGGAATTGCTTTTTCTTTGCATTAGGACATCCTGAATAAGCTAAGGACCTCTCCATGCAAAGCCTAAACAAACTATTGACTTGAACTACAAGTCAATCAACCTTTCATGTAAGACATTCTCCTCCTTTCTCATTATACTTCCAGGCCTTCTATATATCATCCTGGAATCGAAACCTGAAGCCAAAAACCAGCTTTTAATTTTGTGTGAGCGTGATTCGATCCAGGATCTCTTGTAGAGCCTCGAGAGATTCAACAAGTTGAACTATTTAGCGGGTTCTCGTGCGAGAGCTACTAGAAATGGAGGCCTCAGCGGAGATTGTTTTCTTCGACTTGGAAACGACAGTTCCCAGAAGAGCTGGACAACGCTTCTGGGTGTTGGAGTTTGGTGCAATCATGGTCTGTCCGCGGAAGCTTGTCGAGCTGGAGAGTTATAGCACCCTGATAAGGCCCAAGGACTTGTCCGCGGTTGCGTTGAAGTCGAGTCGAAGCGATGGGATAACACGTGGAGCTGTAGAAAATGCACCTGAGTTTGCGGAAGTTGCTGACAAAATATTCAGCATTTTGAATTCCAGAGTGTGGGCAGGCCACAATATACAAAGATTTGATTGTGCTCGGATTAAAGAGGCCTTTGCTGACATCGGTAGGCCGGCCCCGGAGCCAGTTGGAATGATTGATTCTTTAGGAGTCTTGACCGAGAAATTTGGCAGAAGAGCTGGTAACATGAAGGTATGTTGCAAATTAGAAGCAATATTTGTATATTAATGCTACGAATCTTACTATATCTGATGGCGGATGTTTTAAAGATACATGTTAAGAATTTTCGGTAAATTTTATTAATCTTTCGTGTTGCCGCAAATGTATGATAAGTAAACTTAAGTGCAGATTGTCTATTTTTTTTTTTTTTTTTTTGAAATATAAATTTTGTTTAATCAAAATTATGAAATTTTGTCTTTTTAACATTTGTTATTGTCAATTAAAGGTCTCGCATTTTAACAAAATGTAGGATCTGCGGTTTGCACCTCAGAATTTTCGTGAACGATAATTCAGAGAATCCTAACGTTATTATTATTTACATAAATTTAGATGGCTTCACTGGCTTCTTACTTTGGGCTTGGGCAGCAAAAGCACAGGTATGTTAATGTGGAATCAATTCTGTAGTTGGAAACATAAATTTTTGCTTGTGCATTGTTTGACACATCAATGCATATGAAAATGAAATTAATCATGGATGGCTTCTTTAAACAGGAGCCTTGATGATGTTAGGATGAATTTGGAGGTCCTGAAGCATTGCGCAACTGTGCTTTTTCTGGTATTTTCTGAGACTTATTTAAGCCTTCCCTTAATCAACAATATGCTTACCAAGATCACATTTAATGTATATGGATCATATTTCCTGTTAATTTGAGATTAAGAATTTTGTTATTGCGTCTTTATCAGATAATTTAATTATACTCTGATCAATCAAAATTTTGTCTTTTCAGAGATTTTTAAACACATGTATACAATTAAGATAACTCATTAGTTTATATTTTATCCTGATACTATGATTATAGGAATCAAGCCTTCCGAGCATGTTGAATCGCAAATGGAATAGCTCTCTCACAATTACAACAAGAAGTAGGAGCAGTGGAAAATTATCATGTAGAGAAGAAACAAGCAGGAAATCTCCTGCAACTCCAATTGCATATCAAAGAACTGTTCCCTACACAAGGGGAAGCTTGGGGAAGGTCTAAAATTTAATAAATAAGCAACTTTTAATTTTTCTTCTTGTACACACACGTTACATATATTTGTCACTAACAATAAATTTAAATGAAATTTTTGGGGGAAAAAAATTTAAAAAACAGATGACAGAAAGTGTGAAGAATCTATTGTGTAAATCTCAAGGAAACCGGCCTCTCAACACCTTGCTCAAGCATTCTCATTCACTGCTTCGTTGATGAGAAATTCAGGAACTAAGTACAATTTGGTAAAAAATGAGAAGAGATGTTCACAATTTCTGGTTGGAGAGGAAGAAAATTGAATCCATGTTGTTCAAGAGGGCAGGCCAATTGATGCAAGAAAAATTCAATGGCAAAAGTAATTTGTCTATGCCATAGAATTTTGTGACATATTTGATTCATTCTTTTAAGGCCTCCGTTATGTGGAGGCCAATTGTATATATTTATGAAAAAAAAAAATTAATAATCATATATAAATTTAACCAGAGTGAGGGTATCTATATATGCATGATTTAATTGTATTTTTCTCGTTAAATATTAATTTAATACTTCACAAGATAATTTCTTAAATTTCCACACACATGTAACACAAAAGGAATGAAATTTTGTGTTAAGCTAACCTTTTGGATTGGATACATAGAAGCAGAATCAATTTTTGTAATTTTAAAGAATAATTCTAAACAAAAAACCAAGATATAATATACAGTAATTATAAATTTTAAGCAATACTTAAATATCTGACCTCACTTGGCAACCCACATGTCACGCCTCTTATCAAAGTGCAATATTTGACATTTTCTTTTTCTGTGACCGGAGATATTCTGGTCAACTTGCACACATCTTGACTAATTTGGCCTTAAAGTTAATGACCAAGTAAACCTTCTAGTGATTACTCTTATTAGAAACCGAAAGGAATCGAACTCAAGACCTCTTGAATAATACACATAAGAGTCATATCACCCCATCTGACCACCCATAGATGGTTATTAAGATGAATTCGTTAGCATGTATCAGCTCCCTGCTATTGTTGTGGCTCAGACTATCAAGTTGAATAATTATTGGAAAAATCTTCAACTTTATAACAAAGAATGATTTCTCCGTCAAACAGATTAATCTTTTGGGTTCGATGTCCGAGTTAACAAGTGTCTTTTATATTTCTAAAACATGCCATATATAGAGGTCACTCTTACGCTCTAGTGATGCAATAAGAAACAAATGCAAATTATTTTCATGTAAATTAAGTTTATAGACACAAAAGTTATTACCAAATACTTTAGAGTTTAATTAATATCTCTAGGAAAAGAATAATATTTTGCTTATAACTGAGTTATGCAATCAAACAAAAATTTTACAAAATTTATGTAAAATAATTACTCTATCCTATATTTTTTGCTAAATTGTATGCTGGTTGTATTACTCAGTTGTAAGCATAGTATTATTCTTACGAAAATACTGATAAAAGTCTCCCAACAAATTGAGAATACAACAATTTCTGAAACGTGTAACAACATGCATCTACATTTTTTCTGGAAAATAATCATATTAATCATAACCAGTCCATGATTTTATCCACATTCAAACGAAAAAAGTGTCATAAAATAAAATATAAGAAAGTGCGGTTAATTATGGCTTCTCTCCACATAATAACATAGATTTAGAGTTGAGAAACAATGAACCTGGACACATTTTGAAGGCACAGCCTGAGAGAAATAAATTAATTGGTGATAGAAAATGTTCCCGATTGCCATAATGTTTCTTCAAGTCAATGGATTCGCCAGGAGGCACACTTGGTGCCGCTGAAAGAGGCAAGCCAATGAAGAATCTACCTTAGAGAGAAAAAAGTGAGCATCCACCCAAAGCAGCTGAGAATAGTATACATATAGAAATCAGGTACAATGAATGTAGATGGTTTTTGGGAGTTAGCTAAATAGTGATTTTAATTGAAATGATTTGAGGGATTTTAGAGAAGGTGAGTCTGGTTTGTAAACTAATTTCGATCTCTTCATTGATTTCAGTTCTACTATGGATCGGAGGTTAAAGGTTTTGGGAAAATTGAGAATTCGAGTCCCTATGTCGATACTTGTTGGACCAGGGTCAGGTATAGTGTGGGTGCTTAATTTCCTCTCACCCTTATAAAGTTCTATTTTAAAAGTGATGCCAGTACAGATTGTTTGTCTTAAAACAGTAACACTCCATTATTCAGAGCTCTTGAACATTCCGTGTAGTTTATATTCATTTCTTCTCTCTAATTTGGTCATGGCCGTTGATTTATAGGTTGCATTGGTCCCGGAGAGGCATTGGGGATGACAGTTGCATCCGCATTCCTACGCTGCATCCCTCACCACCCTACAAGGTGCCGTGTTGAGAAAGAAAGCACTTGACGCGCTCAGGCCAGCTGTCCCAGTTTAATCCCTGTTTAATAAAGATGAACACTAATGCAAAAGGGTGCCATTCTTGTACTTGGAATTCAAGATATGTATTTGTCAATGATTGTTTTCAAATAATGTAGGCTTGTAATGTAGCTTCAATTCTTGTTGTCTCAGCAATGGTGCTTAATGTACTTTCTGTATGGAGGTGGAAAAATATTCACCATTTAAATGGTTATTTATGCATTGAAGGGCATTAGAGGAAAATCATTGTTTTGGTAATTTGGAATCTTAACCACATGCAATGATTCTACTGCAAATGCAGGAATAAGTTATGTTAAAAGGGGAGTAGGCGAAACTGTCGTCTGACCATTGGATTATGATTCAGTCAACTTTAAACATGATCTGAACATTAGATTATGATTAAGTCGATCTTTTGATTAGATCTCTATTGGATTACGATTCAATCAACTTTAAACTATGATCTGAAGATTAAACCATTAAGTCATAATAAGTCGATCTTTAGATTATGTATAAGGGTTTGTCTCTGATGTTGTAAAAGACCGACAAAGACCATATTGGATCCACAAAGACAAACTATAGGGTGAATTCTTACGTCATTTGAATGCTCATTTTATATAGTACTAATTTTAATTGTATTAGAATTAATCATAGTTAATAAATATGGTACGACAAAAAAAAAAAAAGGTGAGAATTTTATGGGTATGATACAAAATGGTGAAAAATATATTGTAAAAATTCGTCATAAAATTCGGATACAAGAAAATACGATTTGAGTATACCAATATTTAAAAATTGGTCTGGCTGGGCCGGTTTAATTGGTTAAATGAGACCCGGAAGCTTCAACGGGTCGGGTTTATATTTTCTATTCACCTCAAGCACTAGGATTGGGGGATGATTTGCGGAACAATTGAAGCCCGGGATGTTGGGCTTTGAAGAGAGAGTGCTGGTGAATGCAATAGTGGGGACAGAGTTGATTCGTGAGTAAATCGACTGGAATCAACAAAACCGTAGCGGTAACACCGGCTTTGTTGGCGATTGGCGAGGCTAACAGGGGTGGGGATGTGGTGGGTTTTGGTCGGAGAAAGAGGGGAACAATTTCGGGTGATGGGGAGGGTTGTCAATGCAGCGTCAATGAGATCTGACTGGAATGCCAAAGCCAGCGTTGATGAGATCTGGCATGGAAAGCCAACGTTGCGTCGTTGAGATTGGCCAAATCAACTATTTCGGCCAGATCTTGGATATATTTAAGGGAATGGGCTCAATGGATGATTGGGATTGCATTTGGGTATCGCTGCTACCAACAATCGCCAGCCGATTTGTATTTGGGGTGTGTTTCTAAATTTCAAACCTATAGGAACTTAACAAATTTTTAGGGGTGTATTTGCTGAATTTTAGAAGTTTTTTGTCAACTAGTTTGACCCGGTCAAACATGTTCAACCGATCAACTTGGACGTGGCAACTTTGCTGGTTTCACCCCGAGTTGGGTTTTAAAACATTGGTATATATGGGTTTAATACGACACTATATCAATAATATATTTGAAAAATAGACAATATCAATTGTTTTAACACTTTTTATGGACCACCTATTATAATCAATATAGGATTAAATCAAAGTATTAATTCGAATAATATGGATTACTGATAAAATACGTATAAAACGAATAATGTGAATAATTAATAAAAACGTAATATATGGTTAATTACAAATAAAATGTCAAAGCATAGTTTACAAATAATCAATGTGTTATAAATCGAAAATTGCAAATAATACGCCGTTTTACTCGCGAATTCACTAACATAGGAATTAATTACAATAGTGATTAAATAGATAAAAGAATTATATTGCCTTTCCAAAGCTTTTGCAAGTGGTCTTGTGATTCCAGAACCCCAGAAATAAAATTTCCAAGGTATCTTTCTTTTGAAGGTAATCAAAATTAAGTTCTGTACGGCACCAGGGAATCAAATTCCAATTCCTGAAGTTAATTTGGCTCAGGGATTCCAAACATATTCAGCATAATAAATTATAATCTTCGCCTTTGGATGATGCAAAATTCAAGCTGTAATAAACTTCGCCAACAGGCCTAGCCAACCGAAAGGTTTCTTTCTGTTCCAAAAGCGCAAAATTGCAAAGAGAGATTAAGGGAGAGGAAATCTATTTCTTGCCCTCCTGGAATTGCTTTTTCTTGCATTAGGACATCCTGAATAAGCTAAGGACCTCTCCATGCAAAGCCTAAAAAACTATTGACTGAACTACAAGTCAATCAACCTTTCATGTAAACATTCTCCTCCTTTCTCATTATATTCCAGGCCTTCTATAATCATCCTGGAATCGAAACTGAAGCCAAAAACCAGCTTTTAATTTTGTGTGAGCGTGATTCGATCCAGGATCTCTTGAGAGCGCTCGAGAGATTCAACAAGTTGAAACTTTAGCGGGTTCTCGTGCGAGAGCTACTAGAAATGGAGGCCTCAGCGGAGATTGTTTTCTTCGACTTGGAAACGACAGTTCCCAGAAGAGCTGGACAACGCTTCTGGGGGTTGGAGTTGGTGCAATCTGGTCTGTCCGCGGAAGCTTGTCGAGTGGAGAGTTATAGCACCTGATAAGGCCCAAGGACTTGTCCGCGGTTGCGTTGAAGTCGAGTCGAAGCGATGGGATAACACGTGGAGCTGTAGAAAATGCACCTGAGTTGCGGAAGTTGCTGACAAAATATTCAGCATTTTGAATTCCAGAGTGTGGGCAGGCCACAATATACAAAGATTTGATTGTGCTCGGATTAAAGAGGCCTTTGCTGACATCGGTAGGCCGGCCCCGGAGCCAGTTGGAATGATTGATTCTTTAGGAGTCTTGACCGAAAATTTGGCAGAAGAGCTGGTAACATGAAGGTATGTTGCAAATTAGAAGCAATTTTGTATATTAATGTACGAATCTTACTATATTGATGGCGGATGTTTTAAAGATACATGTAAGAATTTTCGGTAATTTATTAATCTTTC